GGGTCGTTCGCCCATTTCGCCCTCACCTGGACCCGCCCCTGTATATCCATCCTACACCATGTGATATCCATCCGACACGTCCTCACCTGAATACTTACGGAAACAGCCGAAGGTAATTTCATATATAATGATCGTAGTCATGTTCTTTTATTCGTAATTCTGTATTGATTGTAAACTGATACAGTTTATACATTCAACATTTGCTTTCAACTAAATCACAACAAATATTTCAAGAGCTATTCCAATAATGCGATATTTCAGTATCTACTGTACTAAATAATGTGCTCTTTATATGTTTGCGAGATGCTTTGTCGCTAAAACGAGATGAGATGCTAAGTCGTTATAGCGAGATTCTAAGCTGTTGTACACTTAACGATATTTTAAGTCGTTATAGCGAGATGCTAACAGCTTTTAATAAGTACAATGAGTTTTAATGGAGGCACGGTAGTATAGTGGTAGGACGCCGGGCTCGTGACCGAAGGGTTGGGTGTTCGAGTCACGGCACGGCACTGTGTTGTATCTCTGAACAAGATACTTTACCCCGCTTGTTCCAGTCTATTCAGCTGTAAATGAGTACGTGGTTGGGCAGTGCTACAATTTTTGAATGCTAGCTGTTAGCGCCGAAATGGCAGCTCCGGCTGTATGCTCCCCAGGGAGTTGAGATGACCTTCGAACTAGGTTGTGATAAAGCGGTATTCAAGAACATCGAATGATTATAATTATCAATGTCCTTTATAAATCACCGTAATGGCAATAATGTGAAATTGACGCCACAGTTAACCTTAAACAGAGACCTAATGCAAATCGTATGGTTTAATACAAGCTATATGATTCCTTGTCAAAACCGTATTAAACTTCTTCATTGGGCAAATACTGCTATAGAGTAAACAATGACGTTATCTAAATCTCTGAGTTTTGGGCGTGTTAGGTAAGCATATTTGTGTAACCGTTGCAGACTCTCTTTTTTCTCATACAGACTCTGGTGTGTGTCTTAATATTCTTTTTCTTTTTCTTACCGACCGAAAATTTACGAAACTTTACATGGACATTGACAGGTATGTATAAATGGGAGTAACATGTTTCATTTCCCGATGGGTCAGCATATATGGTCACCACCCACAGCCTTTAGTTTAATGACGCATTTACGTGTGGACGCCAAGGTGACGTCACAGGTCCGTTTCATAATTTTATTTTTATTTTGCTCCAACTTTATATATACTTGAGCATAATGGTAATTGCATTTTAATGTATCTTGATGACTACGGGCAATTAGGGTACTTCTATAACGGTCTCAATTACAATTTGAATTTTGCTTCCCTCTTTGTGTAATTTAAATTAAGCACTAGAGTACCGTTAGCGAATTAGCCTGTCCGTTTGAATGTCTTACTGTAAGTCTGGCTGTGTGGTTTTTGTACATCCGTACGCGTTTCCAGGGGTAAATGTCTAAACGTCCGTGAATGTGTTTTTGTCTGTCTGTCTGATCATATGTGTGTGACTGTCTGTCTGTCTGGCTGAATTGTTCAGTATGCTTATCTTTACCCTCATCTGTACGTATATAAGTGCGTCCATCCGTTTGTCTTCTTCCTGCACCCCGTCCGTGTATTTGTATTAACATCTTTTATGACAAATTACTGTTCATCAGACAGCGTGTCCTTCTGTTCGTCCTACATGTATGTCCGGGCATCCTGACCGAATGCACCGTATCCACCTGTTATTTATATGTATTAATATAACCCTACTTGTTAAACAGCACCACTGTACAGAATACAAGATTGGTATTGACCCCCTCCCCAATCCTTACACCTTCATAACTTAATCATGGTTATGCGTCTATTCAGTGTAGCGATGGGCAATCTGAATAACGGCTATAGCCCGTTGATAGGAGTCCGAATTATCAAACTTCATTTCTTTTATAACAGATATAGAAAAAAATGGGCAGGCAGGTGGTCATTATTTTGATACCATTTCACGTCCGATCGGAGAATGGAACCCCGGCCGTCTTAGGGAAAATCGAGTGCGCTATCCACTACGTCAAGTAATATCAATATGTCATTGATTGAAGATTGTTATTAATTTCATCGATTTTATGTTTTATATTTTATCGTTAGATTTCCAGTGCTTTTAGGTTTTAGAGAGGGTGATACAATGTCATTTAGATGACGTAAAATTGCGACCTTCCCATTCATGATTGATAAACATATTCCAGATATTTGCTAACGTGACAATTAGTATTATTATCACAATCTTTATATTTCCATTTTGTTTCAGATATGGCTTTTAACAACACAAACTGTAAGTATCTTGGTAGCCTCCCTTTTGGAACTCCCCAAACAAAATCGACCCGTTAAAATCGAAACTTTAATAGCAATGCATGTATAACAACAAAAGATTTTGAAATAAATTATATTCATTAATTGTTTCGCATGCAGTTAACCCTATCACCACTGAAATCCATAATGAACATTTCCAGATAAATGAATGGTAGAGTTTATCAAAGTCACATAGGGGTGAAAGAGTTAATAAAGAATATTTTACGGCTGCGTCTTTCATAAAATAGGAACAAGACATGTATTACGATACATTGACATGTATTACGATACACTGACATGTATTACGATACACTGACATGTATTGCCCTTTGGGGTAGGGAATCGTGATTCTTTATTTCTCCACAATCAACCTGTGGTAAACCGAGCTAAATATAGTAAGTCGAGGAGAAATGAAGAATCGTATTTCCCTACTAGGCCTACAAGGACAAGACAAATATTTTATTTTGCCTAAATTAACAATAATCAAATGATTAATGAGATCAGGTTGACATCCTAGTCACTCGGAACTCGGTTGTGGTGTATTTTGATAATTTGGGAAATGCGATCGAGGAAACTCGAGCGCGTGAGGCCGGTGTGATGTTTTATCCAATCAGACACGCTGTTATTATAATGAGGCAAAGTGAGATATTTTCGTGATGATTCGCGAAGAGTCAAAGGTAAATATGTGAATAAATAATAATGATATAAACCCACCCAACAAGCACACCGCCCTACATATGCAGAATCAAATAGTACATTTCCGCGTAAGATATCGAGGAAACAAATTCAACGCTTTTAATTAAGATATAAATATTGTAATGTATAGATTGTCGAGAACTGGCATCCTCGCTATTCAGTAGAAGACAAATTGCAAAACTAGCCACTCCCAAAAAGTTTAAAGTTTACGTTATGTAGAAAACATTGTGTTCCTATCTATAACAGCACTTGAAGATTTTGAGAACACCCTGCTTACTGAGGGAGTGAGCAAGTCCACTATAGAAAGACTTAGGAAAGAGGAAATCACTGATTGGTCGACACTCGCCATTTTGACCTCTGATGACATCTCAGAATTAGGACTTCCGGTTGGCCAGAAAGCCCTGGTGCGTAATTTGACACAACGAAAGCCTCCCAGCAAGAATGAAACGAAAGATCCGCAGCCCTCACGCGGTTCACCAGTCATGTCCACTGTTACCGACGCAGGTAATATGAAAACTCCTCTTTAGATTGTTATATAACGTCAGCCCAGCAAACGGGTCTTTCAAAGTGATTAAGAGAACGCTATCTATTTTTTTTAACTTTTTTTTTTGGTTCAAGCAAAAGATCCAAAAAATCATAAGTAAGCGTATTGAAAGAACCGTTTTCTATATACTGAAATTACTCATCTATTTATTGCAACTTAGCAGCGGAAAGGGAAAATGTGTCAAGGGCGATAAATATCACACATGAATGGCAAGAGGTTTTTTCGTTACCTGTTAAATTGTTTGGTCGTGATGTTGAGTACGATATAGTTGTGAACTTTTAAGTACGCAGCTTAAAGATTTAAATTTCTCTTTAGGATTAAATATTGCACGCACTGAACGTGCTATGGGCGATAACTCCTATTGACTTCGGGTGTTTTTAGTAAAGAAAATATCCCTTGATCAATCTTAGATTATCGATTTGTATTTAAAAAAAATATCTAAATATATCGCAGAATGGCAAATGCATTAGATAAATGCAGGAAACGAGGGATCTGATCATCCTCGATGTCCAGGGATTACGCTCACGTTCGCTCTCTGCACCCCTGGAATATGTCATAGCAAAATTGAAGGTTCGGTGTGCCACCTTGTTGATGAAACAAAAAGACTAGTTCGATTCTTTGATGTACATCAAAAGAATCTCGCGGTTACGTAACTGTAAAAATTGAAAGGCTTTGAAGTCTGGCGTCTCTCAAAGGACATGTATTAGCCTAGCGATTGGTATTTTTTTTTACCTGAGACCAATCAAACAGCTATCTTCGTGCCTTCAATTTTGCTATGACATACTCCAGGGGTGTAGAGAGCGAAAGTGAGCATGATCCCTGGATATCGAGGATGGATTCAGATATGATTTGATGTTATGCGTTTCCTCTTCTTCGTCTCTGCAGAGTTGAATATGGCCTGCCTTTCACCCTTGTAGTTCATTGCCTGCCCCCTATTGACCACGCCTACTAGGAGTAAGCTACATACTAGTGGGCGTGTCTTCTATTGATCACGCCTAATTGGTGCAATCATCTGCATACAAACGGGGATGTCTCGTCTGCTGCCTACTCGGCAATGAAGCGGATGTTAAACCACTCAATCAAACATCTTATAGCCTTCCTGTAATAATTTACTTGCAATATATGATTATATCAACATGGGTTTACACAGTTTTACGCGTTGTCATAATGTTATTTTACAGACCGAGTCGCCTCCTTTTCTGAAACTGCTACAGAATATGTGAGACAGAGCGACGTGTCAAGAGGTGAGTTTTTCTTTGTTTATATTGATACCAAAGTAACTATCACTCCATGGGCGTGTCTTGTCTAAATTTTACTCACCGCCAACAACATATTATCCATTCCAGGGGCGTGTCTTCCTTGGATCACGCCTACTATTTAAAACCATCCCCATTCACGGGAACTCGTTTCGTTTTAACCACTCTCGCACATTTACTGAACATTTTGTGCAGTAGAATTATCATTATTCGTTATGAAAAGGTGTTATTATTCTTATCAATAACAGTTTATAAAAATATATCTATTAAGGATGCATGTTTGGGAGCTTTGGTGACGGGACGTGCACCTAGAAGCCCTCTTAGCCTTTAGCGTCTTTCAAAAGATCGTAAACTAAGTCGAACTAACCCAGCGAAGAAGGGACTTATTGGTTTTGTTAGGTGCCAACAGCCCATCTCTTTTTATTTGCTCCAACTAGGTATGTAAGGGTATTATGACAATGTAAATACATTTGAATGCATCATTTTATACCAAGGGAACAGTTTCGGGGACTTCTGCAACGGATTCAATTACCATGAGAACATTTTACATATCTCGTTGGTGGGGTCTTACAATATATATCTGTATGCTTGGAGATATGGCAGTCTGGTTATTCCGTTTGTTGGGTGGAGGACAGTGCAAGGGCCTTAATTGCGACATAAAGATGTATGTTTTATAAAAAAAAAAACATTAATCTGGTTTGTAGTTTGTGTGTTTGAAGTGGCTTACTGTATTGTGCTGCTGTGCTTGTAATTGTTTTTCAATTTGATCCATTTTTTTCTGCTCTGTGTATCCCATACAAAAGACCAGTATTTTAGCCAGCGCGCACCATTCAGTTTGTCTGTGACACATGTGACAGTTATACCAGTTGGTCTGCCACATCTATGCAGTTTATTGCTTAACAATGCAACCCCCTCGTTGTAGTAAAAGATAGCTGTGACATCATCACGTGACTTACATTTATTGCTGTTAAAACATATCTACACTTGTTTACATGCATTCTGTTATTTTTATCAATCACCGTTTGTGATAATCCTGGGTACTTGTTCAGTGTGCTTCCCTGAACACAATATTGGCCACCAGAGATAGCCAAACGATGTCCACGAATTGCTTATTAAGGTCGAGATGCCATGCACAGCTTCAAATCAAGACCAAGACATTCGTAACTCATTTTCACTTTAATTCGTCGATTTAATAAGTGGATAGATACAGATGTGTTCAACATCTTCATAGGTGTTTGCATCATGAATAGATTGCTTGTCCAGTAACGACATATGGCCCTTCGTTCGAGGACATTGCGAAACGTCAAATGGCATGTGCCGATCAAGGCATGACTTAGTGAGCACTAGCTCAGATTCCTTTCACTATATACATACATTCTTAATGACTCACCGTCAGTCAGAATACAGCAAAACCTTAAAATAATGCCACCATTTGGGATTTTTGACTGATAATGATATTTCCATATTTCACACCTCAATCAATATTGATCTTCAATTAATAGTCTGATATGCTTCGTGTTGATGTACTTGTTCGATTCACGCCAAGTGGGGCTGTCACAACAGCGTTGCATAAACAAACATGGAGTAGTGTTTATCCCTTCGTGAACACAATGATTACTAGTATACAGGGGAAATCACTCTTGATATTAAATATAAGAAGAATGTTTGAGGTTGTAATAATTCCTTACACATTCTACGTGCGAAATGTCAAACTGGCAACCACACACAAACCACTTGCATCTTAATGTTGGAAAGGAATGTGTTTATCAACGATGATGAACCATTTTCAAACCTTTTGATTCCCGCTTGTCTTTATAACCTAAAGTTAACTGGACTTGATGTTTCCTCCTACTCTCCGTATATAACAACGACACAAGTTTTAATTTCTTAACATCGTGTCTGATAACTTGAGTTTCAATATTCCATTCTACTCTATTTTTAAAACTACGCGTGCCATATTAACATCGCGAGTAATAACTTATGTTTTGAGTTTCTCGAATACTGTACATCGTGTCTGATAACTTGAGTTTCAATATTCCATTCTACTCTATTTTTAAAACTACGCGTGCCATAATAACATCGCGAGTAATAACTTATGTTTTGAGTTTCTCGAATACTGTACTGTTACAAAAACGCTGTGAGTATATCAACGTCACCGATGATAGCTTATGTTTCGAGTTAATTCTGTTTCACAACTACAATACTTTCAAATTCCGGGTTTTAAGATATAAACATCAGGAATGATACATTGTGTTTGGGTTTCTCGACTACTGTACTATTATGAATACGCTTTGAGTAAATCAACGTCACCGATGATAGCTTATTCCGAAGTAAATGCTTACAGAGTGTTAACCGTCTAAAGTGCATGGCACCGGCGGAGGTGAAGGGAATGGGAGGGATAGCTGGAAAAAATCTACTACGCCCTATAAGTAATATCTCATGTTCTAAGAACTCCTTTAATTCCAATTATTTAATAGTAAAACCCGATTTTTTATTTGAATAATATTGAATCTTGTCCTTCACTAAGTAGTTTTTTTACTTACATAAAATGTGGAGATTTGTCAATGTGAATGAACACTGTATTCTCAGACTCAAATATCCAAGAAGATTCTTTTATTTCTTTCCTTTTTTATGATTTATACGGAAGTTTCTTATAAATCATCAAAAAAATTGAAACGTATAAAAATATATGATTTAAAAAAATCTTGCAAGTTTAGCATAGCCACTGAGTTTCACAATTACAATACTTTCGAATTACGGGTTTTAATATATAAACATCAGGAATAACAAATTACGTATGAGTTTCTCGACTACTGTAATGTTATAAATACGCTGTGGGTATATCAACGTCACCAATGATAGCTTATGTTTTAAGTATCACAAATACTGTTCTATTATAATTCTGGGTTTTAATATATAAACATAAGGAATGATTAACGTCTTTGAGTTTCTCGACTGCTTTACTGTGATAAGTACGCTTTGAATAGATCAGCGTCGCAAATGATAACATGTGTTTTGTGTTTCACATCTGCTAAACTTTCAAATTCCGGTTTTTTTTTTAAATTTTGTCTGGATTTATAACTTATGTTTCCTTAAAGAAGATGAAGACGAAGATGATTACGATGACGCCTTTACTGTTGGTCCTCGTGAGTTTTGATATGTACTCCGTAACTCCTACCTTAATCGACCACATGATATAGTGCCAAAATCTTCGAATGGAGTCACTTTACTCAAAGCTCTATTTGATTAGTGTTAAAACAATATATAAATAATTTTGTATTGACGTCATATACTTACTCACGTAATAAACGAGTATGTGTATAGTGCCAAAATCTTCTCACAAATACATGATTACTCCTAACTGATTATATTCACACATATATATTTGTGACATAAAACAATGTATTCACACATCTATTTGTGACATAAAACAATGTATTCACAAATATATTTGTGACATAAAACAATGTATTCACACATCTATTTGTGAGATAAAACAATGTATTCACACATCAATTTGTGACATAAAACAATGTATTCACACATATATTTCTGACATAAAACAATGTATTCACACATCTATTTGTGACATAAAACAATGTTTTCACACATCTATTTGTGACATAAAACAATGTATTCACATATATTTGTGACATAAAACAATGTATTCACAAATATATTTGTGACATCAAACAATGTATTCAACATATATTTCTGACATAAAACAATGTATTCACACATATATTTGTGAGATAAAACAATGTATCCACACATCAATTTGTGAGATAAAACAATGTATTCACACATATATTTGTGACATAAAACAATGTATTCACACATATATTTGTGACATAAAACAATGTATTCCACATATATTTGTGACGTAAAACAATGTATTCACACATATATTTGTGACATAAAACAATGTATTCACACATATATAGTTCTGACATAAAACAATGTATTCACACATCTATTTGTGACATAAAACAATGTATTCACACATCTATTTGTGACATAAAACAATGTATTCACACATCTATTTGTGACATAAAACAATGTATTCACACATATATTTGTGACATAAAACAATGTAATTAACACATATATTTGAGAATTAAAAAACATTGTTTTCACATGAATATTTGTTTCCTCCAAAACATTATTTTCACATAAATATTTGTGTACTTAAAATACAATATATTCACATAAATACTTGTGTACTCAAAAACATTGTTTTCACATGAATATTTGTTTACTCCAAAACATTGTTTTCACATGAATATTTGTTTACTCCAAAACATTGTTTTCTCATTCATTCTTTTGTATTGAATTTTGTATTTACATACATAGTTGAAGGTTCCAAACTTCTTGTCTTCACATAAATACTTCTGTGCGCCAAAATCTCATTTCCTTTCTGTACTTACTTGTGTACTTAAAAGCCATGCATTCACATTACTACTCGTGTACTCCGAACTATATGTATTCCTATAGACATATATATCCTTACGCTTATGGTCATTAGCATAAAGTATGCATTATGTTTCACGATGGTCGATATAAGCCTTACAATTCTCAAAACAGTTTCTAAATAAATTTTGCTGAGGTCAAGCTTGACGCGTGATCGGATGACTTTATTGAACATTGAATACGCTGGCCTTATTTCTAAGATAAATTTGACCTAAAAGCTCCCAACCTGAAAAATACATGGAATTTTCCTGAAAATCAAGTAATATTTTTTCAATCATGTGGAAATTTCATTTCAGGTCTATTTCAGCTAATTATAAGTAATTTGTGCAGAAAGAAATTTACGTGAATTCAAGTATCATTTCCATGCCAGTGAGTGTTTTCTTAATGTCAGGCTGATTTCAGGAAATGTTTTTTTCCCCAGCCAATCATAACAGAAAAAGAAAATGCGTGAAAGGATATTATTTTCGAAATAATCTGATGAAAAATAGAAAACAGCACTAAAGAAGCATTTAAATTTGATCAGAATTCGAATTGAGTTTAAATGAAAAACATTTTCATATGAAAATCTGGTGAATTCATCATATGACTTCACAAGTCGAGCTGGCTTAAAAGTTTTGACATGCTATTTATATTGGACAGTAAACTGTCGAGATAAACCCGATTCCTAACACCACGGAAATCCAAACTTTGACCTACAAATGTAACGATTTAATAAAAATTAAGTCCATTATTAAAACCGAATTTTCATCGAAATCTTTCTTAAGTATAAAAGGAAAACATTCTGAAGCATCATTGAACACATTCTTAAGTATCATTGAAAACATTTGAAGCATCATTGAAAACATTTGAAGCATCATTGAAAACATTTGAAGCATCATTGAACACATTCTTAAACATCATGGAAAATATTCTGAAGCATCATGTGAAGCACCATTTAAAACATTATGAGGCATTAATTATGATCGAAATCGACTGATATTTTAAAATAAAGACAATGGAAAGGTTTTAAGTGAATTAGTATACATTTATGCATGAACAACACAGGGAGTTACATCTTATCAGAAATAATACGTCTGGGTAGGAAATCATGTCGAAGCTAACGTTAATTAAACTTGTAGATTGTGTAGGTTCATAGAGTATATCTCAGTTCATTTGAGAATAGAACATTTCCTTTTGACCTTTTGAACTCTTTCGTTCACAGCGGATGATATATACGATGATGCCATGAGTCTTGATCAACGTAAGTTTTGACATTAGTATGTATTTAAAACACGTTGAGGACTTATACGAAATTTTATTGCACATTCAAGTTGATATTTCTGTTAAAAGCATGTATTATAAATAACGTGACAAAAATCACGTTTTAAGAATAGTGCAAACTAGTTTTGATTATTAAGATAAAATATTGTACATCCGTATTTTAAAATTCACCTTCTCAAATAATCGTATTCACACTTAACCGTTTATATAAGTGAAATATTATGGTGTTCGGACCGTTTAATCCTTCATTATGCGTGTAGTATGCTTGATATTTTGTACAATAAGTTGCTTTTCATAGAATATTGGACTGGTGTCATTAAAAATAGTAACACAATTTGCGATTGAATTCAACTGACATAGTTAAAAAAACAAAAAAAACAAAAACAGCCCATATACAAATAATATACGACCAATTTGAGGCATTTTTTGTTGCCTGGAAACGAGGAGTGAACGTATTGTATATTGTACATGTAAACCTGTGAGCCTTTATCCACAGAACGTACAGAGAATCAAACCCCAACGCAGGCCGATGGTAAGTGGTATAGAAAGGCTTTTGCTAGACCCTGTGTCTTAAAAAAACAAACACAGCAAATGTATATATTATCATATTAACCCGTATTTGCTAGTGCACTATCAGCTTTCATTGAGTGATAATGACCATTTGCAAGCTATGAAAATAACTCATTTACTACGACGAGGCATCCGGTTCTAAAGCAGAATTCAGTTTCTACATCGAGGCAACTCCTGGTAAAGAGGAAGTCTGTCCCTACACCGAGACATCCCCTGGTACAGAGGACGTCTGTCCCTACACCGAGACATCCCCTGGTAAACAGGAAGTCTGTCCCTACACTGAGACACCCCTTTGTAAACAGAAAATTTGTTCCTATACTGAGACAACCCCTGGTAAACAGAAAGTCTGGTCATACACCGATACATCCATTTGAAAACAGGAAGTCTGTCCCTACACTGCGACATCCCTGGTAAACAGGAGGTCTGTCCCTACACTGAGACATCCCCTGGTAAACAGGAAGTCTGTCCCTATACTGAGACATTCCCTGGTAAACAGTAAGTCTGTCCCTACACTGCGACATCCCTGGTAAACAGGAGGTCTGTCCCTACACTGAGACATCCCTTTGTAAACAGAAAATCTGTTCCTATACTGAGACAACCCCTGGTAAACAGTAAGTCTGTCCCTACACTGCGACATCCCTGGTAAACAGGAGGTCTGTCCCTACACTGAGACATCCCCTGGTAGAGAAGAAGTCTGTCCCTACACTGAGACATCCCCTGGTAAACAGAAAGTCTGTCCCTACACTGATACATCCCCTGGTAAACAGGAAGTCTGTTCATACACCAATACATCCATTTGTAAACAGGAAGTCTGTCCCTACACTGAGACATTCCCTGGCAACCAGGAAGTCTGTCCCTACACTGAGACATCCCTGATAAACAGGAGGTCTGTCCCTACACTGAGACATCCCCTGGTAAACAGAAAGTCTGTCCCTACACTGATACATCCCCTGGTAAACAGGAAATCTGTTCATACACCGATACATCCATTTGTAAACAGAAAGACTGTCCCTACACTGAGACATTCCCTGGAAACCAGGAAGTCTGTCCCTACACTGAGACATCCCCTGGTAAACAGAAAGTCTGTCCCTACGCTGATACATCCCCTGGTAAACAGAAAGTCTGGTCATACACCGATACATCCATTTGAAAACAGGAAGTCTGTCCCTGCACTGAGACATTCCCTGGCAACCAGGAAGTCTGTCCCTACACTGAGACATCCCTGGTAAACAGGAGGTCTGTCCCTACACTGAGACATCCCTTTGTAAACAGAAAGTATGGCCCTAAACAGAGACATCCCCTGGTAAACAGGATGCCTGTCCCTACACTGAGACATCCCTGGTAAACAGGTCTGTCCCTACACTGAGACATCCCCTGGTAAACAGGAGGTCTGTCCCTACACTGAGACATCCCTTTGTAAACAGAAAGTATGACCCTAGACAGAGACATTCCCTGGTAAACAGGAAGTCTGTCCCTACACTGAGACATTCCCTGGTAAACAGGAAGTCTGTCCCTACACTGAGACATTCCTTGGTAAACAGGAAGTCTGTCCCTACACTGATACATTCCCTGGTAAACAGGAGGTCTGTCCCTACACTGAGACAACCCTGGTAAACAGGAGGTCTGTCCCTACACTGAGACATTCCCTGGCAACCAAGAAGTCTGTCCCTACACTGAGACCTTCCCGGTAAACAGGAGGTCTGTCCCTACACTGAGATATCCCTTTGTAAACAGAAAGTATGACCCTAGACAGAGACAGCCCCTGGTAAACAGGAAGTCTGTCCCTACACTGAGACATTCCTTTGTAAACAGAAAGTATGTCCCTACACTGATACATTCCCTGGTAAACAGGAAGTCTGTCCCTACACTGAGACATTCCCTGGTAAACTGGAAGTCTGTCCCTACACTGATACATTCTCTGGTAAACAGGAAGTCTGTCCCTACACTGAGACATCCCCTGGTAAACAGAAAGTATGACCCTAGACAGAGACATCCCTGGTAAACAGGAAGTCTGTCCCTACACTGAGACATTCCCTGGTAAATAGGACGTCTGTCCCTACACTGAGACATCCCTGATAAACAGGAAGTCTGTCCCTACACTGAGACATCCCCTGGTAAACAGAAATTATGACCCTAGACAGAGACATCCCTGGTAAACAGGAAGTCTGTCCCTAGACAGAGACATCCCTGGTAAACAGGAAGTATGTCCCTACACTGAGACATCCCTGGTAAACAGAAAGTCTGTCCCTACACTGATACATACCCTGATAAACAGAAAGTATGACCCTAGACAGAGACATCCCTTGTAAACAGGAAGTCTGTCCCTACACTGAGACGTCCCCTGGTAAACAAAAAGTATGACCCTAGACAGAGACATTCCTGGTAAACAGGAAGTCTGTCCCTACACTGGTCTGTCCCTACACTGAGATATCCCTTTGTAAACAGAAAGCATGACCCTAGACAGAGACAGGCCCTGGTAAACAGGAAGTCTGTCCCTACACTGAGGCATTCCCTGGTAAACAGGAAGTCTGTCCCTACACTGATACATACCCTGATAAACAGAAAGTATGACCCTAGACAGAGACATCCCTTGTAAACAGGAAGTCTGTCCCTACACTGAGACATCCCCTGGTCAACAGAAAGTATGACCCTAGACAGAGACATCCCTTGTAAACAGGAAGTCTGTCCCTACACTGAGACATGCCCTGGTAAACAGGAAGTCTGTCCCTACACTGGTCTGTCCCTACACTGAGATATCCCTTTGTAAACAGAAAGCATGACCCTAGACAGAGACAGGCCCTGGTAAACAGGAAGTCTGTCCCTACACTGATACATACCCTGATAAACAGAAAGTAAGACCCTAGACAGAGACATCCCTGGTAAACAGGAAGACTGTCCCTACACTGAGACATTCCCTGGTAAATAGGACGTCTGTCCCTACACTGAGACATCCCTGATAAACAGGAAGTCTGTCCCTACACTGAGACATGCCCTGGTAAACAGGAAGTCTGTCCCTACACTGATACATACCCTGATAAGCAGAAAGTATGACCCTAGACAGAGACATCCCTGGTAAACAGGAAGGAAGTCCCTACACTGAGACATCCCTGGTAAACAGGAGGTCTGTCCCTAGACAGAGACATCCCTGGTAAACAGGAAGACTGTCCCTACACTGAGACATTCCCTGGTAAACAGGAAGTCTGTCCCTACACTGGTCTGTCCCTACACTGAGATATCCCTTTGTAAACAGAAAGCATGACCCTAGACAGAGACAGGCCCTGGTAAACAGGAAGTCTGTCCCTACACTGGTCTGTCCCTACACTGAGATATCCCTTTGTAAACAGAAAGCATGACCCTAGACAGAGACAGGCCCTGGTAAACAGGAAGTCTGTCCCTACACTGGTCTGTCCCTACACTGAGATATCCCTTTGTAAACAGAAAGCATGACCCTAGACAGAGACAGGCCCTGGTAAACAGGAAGTCTGTCCCTACACTGGTCTGTCCCTACACTGAGATATCCCTTTGTAAACAGAAAGCATGACCCTAGACAGAGACAGGCCCTGGTAAACAGGAAGTCTGTCCCTACACTGATACATACCCTGATAAACAGAAAGTAAGACCCTAGACAGAGACATCCCTGGTAAACAGGAAGTATGTCCCTACACTGAGGCATCCCTGGTAAACAGAAAGTCTGTCCCTACACTGATACATCCCCTGATAAACAGAAAGTATGACCCTAGACAGAGACAGCCCCTGGTAAACAGGAAGTCTGTCCCTACACTGATACATACCCTGATAAACAGAAAGTAAGACCCTAGACAGAGACATCCCTGGTAAACAGGAAGACTGTCCCTACACTGAGACATTCCCTGGTAAATAGGACGTCTGGCCCTACACTGAGACATCCCTGGTAAACAGGAAGGCTGTCCCTACACTGAGACATCCCCTGGTAAACAAAAAGTATGACCCTAGACAGAGACATTCCTGGTAAACAGGAAGTCTGTCCCTACACTGATACATACCCTGATAAGCAGAAAGTATGACCCTAGACAGAGACATCCCTTGTAAACAGGAAGTCTGTCCCTACACTGAGACGTCCCCTGGTAAACAAAAAGTATGACCCTAGACAGAGACATCCCTGGTAAACAGGAGGTCTGTCCCTAGACAGAGACATCCCTGGTAAACAGGAAGTCTGTCCCTACACTGAGGCATTCCCTGGTAAACAGGAAGTCTGTCCCTACACTGAGACATCCCCTGGTAAACAGGAAGTCTGTCCCTACACTGAGATAATCTGTGTTGCCATTTATCCAGAACTATATAAATTAAATGTACACACAATATACTGCTCTTTACCTGGACGATCTTACTTATTGTTCATATGGCATTCACTATTTTGTAATTCATGTTCATAAGATTTAAAATATGTCACTTACCTTGAAACGTATTCACTGAAAAAAAGGTTATAAAAAATAATTTGCCATTTTCAAAATGACCCTTGACATTTTCATAAATGAAATATAAACAATACTCGCAATAGATAGGATTTGATATTTATCTACAAATATCTGTTTATATGATATAAATTACCTCCCATATATCGCATTTACCCTGAATTTCAGGATCTCCTCCTTCATCTGTCATTAATCTCAGAAATTAATCATTTTGCACTATCTTTCCCACCTTTGAGTCCCCTTACAAACCGTAAACAAGGAAACATCTGCCCTATCAAACCTTCGCCTTCGTCAGTAAAATTACATATTCGGGTAACTTCGATTCTGGCTCTTCAGATTTGATTCCTTTGCTGATGACGGACATTCGCTGTAATGCTAAATTCGCCGACATAGGCAGTATCCAATATTTGTCTGTTTACAATTTAAGGCATCCTACACATCCACCTTATTATTCTCTCGATCCTCCACTGCTACAAGGCTACACGTACAGTAAATCCTCGATATACTGCCCCTCGATACATTTGCCACCTCGTTTATCGCCAACATATAACAAAGTCCTCCCCCCCTTTTTTTGTCTGAATAATGCCTTGATACGTTTCCCTCAAAGTATCGCCAAACCCCTTTATATAACGCCAAAATTGCGCTGGACGAGTGATGGCAGTATAACGAGGTTTTACTGTAGGTTATCACACTTCTATACACATAACTGCACTTTTGTGTAACACCTCAGCGTGCATATGTGTATCCCATTGACTACAGTAGTGATTATATACTGACTAATAAGAAAATGTGTACACTTTAATCTCAAATCACAGAGGTACCACCGGCAAATCCATCTAGGTATCCCAGGGACCCTCCTGTCTCTCAAAAGTCTGGTGAGTTTGTGTCCAAGGAATGCTTTAACCAACTTCAATTCCTAATCACCTAACGGTTGTTCAACCAATGAATATGCTCGTCTATCGACTTGCAGTAAACTATATGAATATATATTTCTTTTCACTTTCGGTTCATTGATACTTGACAAACTTCACTTCTATAAAAAATAATATATATATCACACCAGCAGTAAATTGATCCTTACGGATGAATGAATAACGTGTGACTAAAATTGGTGTTAAAATGTCATATATGGTTTCACGAGTTGTAGACTTTTGGCATATTTTCCGAGAAGACTCAACTTAATTCAAGGGAAACATATTTAACTGCTTTTTAATTAACGGCTTTACAAGTTATTATGACCTGGATGCAGTGCATTACCAATGAATATGATCCTCTATCGACTTGCACTAAAATATATAAATAGATATTTCTTCCCACCCCCTATCCATCAATACTTGACAAACTTCATTTCTATATTAATTGGTATATATCATAACAGTAGTAAATTGATCCTTACAGACGAAGATATAATATAAAAAAACAACATTTAACAACACATATTTAGCGCTTTCATCTCACCAAGGAGAATCTTCAGACTACAGAATCTCCTTGATGAGATGAAAGCGCTAAAGACGTGTTGTTAAGATTTTGTCTTTTCATATAAAATTGACAAAGTACATTTGGTGTGGTTGGCGTGTGATTATAAACAGTATGAGGTTGCATTTGATCTTTTAATATGACGAAATAGAACAATATGATGAGAGATAGGAGCAATATTAGGCTGATTGCTGTTAAAATGTCATATACGTTGTACGAGCTATAGACTTTTGGCCTACTATTCCAAAATACTCAACTCCATTCGATTAGGATATATATTTAATTGCTTTTTAATTACATAAAACATATTACAGTCTGCACATCTTGACAATCGTCTTTATTTTTTTCAGACTGTGTTTTGAAATATTAAACCGTATTCCCGAATCTTACATATGTGAAAACCTCATTTTTCACCCTGTGTAACAGAACAAAATTAAGATATCGAAATCACATATTTAAACTCGTTTCTCTATATGAAAACACATTCTCTAAAGCCACTACTCGACGTAGTTTTCTTTGTATATCAGACTACGTTTCCAGTTATTTAGGATACCCGTACCATAGACAAAAAAATACAGCAAAACGTTGAGAAGGTTTTTTGCTTGATCTGCATATGGCTTTGATAAATCATATGTAAAAAAGCCGTACCAAAATTGTTGTGATTTTTCTTATATAAAAAAACATAATAACGAAAGTAAAATAAACAGAATATAAACAACAACGGTGTTCTAAGTGTAAAAATATCAACAGACTTTGTCCAGGATTCGAATTATGGATCTCAAATTATTATTCACTCTCTCTAACAAACTGAGCCCGTATTCATGAAACTATTCTTATGCTGAGACATTGATTTTGTGCTCAATATTAGTGTATTGCTCCGTTTAAAAAAATATTAATAGAATCTTTTTTTGTGTAAATGAATTTGGAAACAATTGAAGAGGTAATGCGCTTTTTGCACCCAGCGATACTCATACTCCTTACCGAGCAAGGACAAACTAAAATGTCAGCACTTATTTAGAAACGATAATCGGGAGTAATGGGAAAGATCTCAAAACCAGGATGTTTCATTTCTTTCTTTTTGTTTAATCTCAATTGAAAGCTTTTAAACTTGCACTGTCAACTATAAAGCCAAATACTGTTTTCAATATTTGACCTTTTGTCCGTTTAACATGATTTAGGCGAGTTACAAGAAAGGTGGTTTAAGCACAGAATCCAAGCTTGAGCATGATATGGTTTCATGAATACTGACCCTGGTCAACGAGAATACACTTGCCCAATTCCGCTACAGTTATATTTAAAAGGAGGTTAATGTACAAAAACCCATAGTGGATTCTCTTTATTACTTTGTCTTCAGTAACTTATTTTTGTATCATATTGTTTTTCTATATTAACTTGATGATCATACTTACAAATATGTAATATTTCACAGTTTACAAACACACTGAGGAAACTAAAACAAATGTAATGCGAGAGACTGTGTACGCATTTTGTTCTTTAATTGAACAGAGCAACGATCAAAGAAATATCCTCGGAAACCCCCCGTCCCGTTACCCAAGGGTAAGAACAATATATTTATATATATATCTTATCCTTACCCGGAACAGTTAACAAATCGCCAATTAACGCAAATTGTATTTATATACCCAAATCTTTACAAAAGGAGGATTTAGTGGTGCTGGCGGTTTCATACTTTATTCCATCATTTTCTGTTACAAATGTAAAAGTATCATGATGGAGATATCTGCATATAACATGCTTTTTTATGAATATCAAAATATATATTTGCATATTTTTTTTATAAAATGTATGTTTTACGACCAATTATCTTATTGCTTTGTACCAACACATTATATGCCTGTTCACAAATATCCAAAACATCTTTACTAATAACCGAAAATACATACCAACATGTATTCCCATTTCAAAAAAAAATGTGAAAAATGTAAAACTATCATGATGGAGATATCTGTATAGTTGTTATATCGACAGTATCGCAGTAGTTGCAGTTTTCCTATCACTGCGAGAGAGCATTCAAAATATTATGACCGACAACATAATTTGGCTCAGTTATAAATAGGCAAAGTTATGCGAATATTAATTTCTTTATAAGATATATACAACGTTAGATAACTCAAACACAATAGCTAGTTCAATGACAATGACAATTGTTTTATTCTCATAAACAATACAGTGTAGAGAATACATATATACAAATGGGTGGCAGTTCAATATGTTAAAGAGTTATACATAGGTTGCCGCATCGAATCAATAACATTTATTATATAATATAAAGAATGAGATTTTATTCAAGCCTTGCTTTCATGTTTTATTTATTAAACATATGATACTTTATACCATGGATACTGTTACATGTAAATATAATTTTGACAATATTTGTTTTTCGACAAGATTTGATGACAAAGGCGAATCTTGAATACGTTTAAGTATTTTCTACAACTTGACAATTTAACAATTATAAATATATTGTGACACGATTTTGCCAAGAAGTAAACGTATTTGTTTTATTAAAAAAAAGGAAAGACAAAAATGAATTAACATGACTTACATTACACAAATAATGATATATAACATGTTTTTTTTTACGAATATCAAAATCTATATAAGCATATTTTCATAAAACGTACATGTGTATGTACATGTACCATGCACGTTTAAACATATTACGACCAATTATCATATTGCTTTGTACCTACACATTATATGCCTGTTCACAAATATCCAAAATATTATTACCAATAACCGAAAATACATTCCGACATATATCCAATTACAAAAAAAAATGTGTACCGAAACATTCTATGCTTGTTATATATATGTGGGAATATAATATTCTACCAATTGCAAAAGTCAGAGTTTATACTTTGTTGATACAAGTTTATACCATTACCGAAATGGACATAAGCGCCATTAAACTTGCGTTTAAACATATTGCATGTTTTGTTATTTGTATTTGAATTTACATAACCTACCGACCAGAATGACTCCCCTACCTATTTTATCCTTGTTTCTTACGTTTACGTCTCTTTTCCCTGCGTATTCCGTATGTTTACGTGTTCCGAATTTACATAACTACCCGTTTTAACCCTTCCTCTGCCTTCGTAATCCTTTCATATAACCAGATTTACTTAACCACCCATTCGGAACGTTTCTTTTCCCTGCGTATTCCGTATGTTTACGTGTTCCGAATTTACATAACTACCCGTTTTAACCCTTCCTCTGCCTTCGTAGTCCTTTCATATAACCAGATTTACTTAATCACCCGTTTGGAACGTTTCTTTTCCTACGTAATCCGTGTGTGTTTTCTTGTCCAATCACGTGTAAGTTCCACTACAGAGGAGGAGGACAGCGATGATATTTACGATGTGCCTGAAGACGAAGGTAAGTTAACAAGACTAAAACTAATCCTCCAATATAAATGGAATATCATAGTATTAATGTCCTAGTTTTTGAAAGCCTTGTCAGCTTAATAGGTGATTTTAAAAAATTGAAAATTCTTATCATTGTATTTCTTTTCGTCAGATGATCTGCCATTTTGAAACACTTTGAAAAACTCTGCTTTTAACTTCCGTTAAATAGTTATCATATATCTTGTTAAAAGTGTGTTCATATTGAATTCAAATTAATACCAAATTCCTAATATGAAATTGTATGCAACATATTTATGTTAGCCATTTATCTTAATTTATCTATAGTGATGTACGATAATCGTTATAGACAGGGAGTGACGTAATATTTTAATTAGATTACAGAGGTTTGGTCTTTCGAGGTTCCTCTGGACACAGACGCTACACAACAAACATTAACTTTTGCATTGTATTTTGTATAAAAACGCATGCAATCGATTTAATAAAAATCTAAACCATTTGTATTTTCTATACTTATAGAAATGGACGATGGGAATTTGGATGACGTCTACGACGTCCCTGGTAAGTCACGTTATATTATTGTAAAATGTCGGTTATTTTTTTGGCTTAACTATTTTAACAGTTGTCGAAAACGACAATGCAATTATAACCACCAAATCCCTCTGCTAAAAGGTACATAAATAAAACTACTTTAAATTAACCCTTGGCGAATAGTTAGGTTCTCACAAGTTTTGGCCATGATGTTTTCAAGAATGTTCAATATCCAATCGGGATTCAAATATTTTGACTGTTGATGACGTAACCACGGCATCGGAACTCCCGTCCAGATGGCGTGGTTATGTCAACAACAGTCAAAACATTTGAATACCGATTGGATGAACACTTGGGACAACCTGAATGCTTTTTTAACCACGAGATAGATAATAAAGAACTTATTCATATTCGGGACGTCATCATATAAACTGATGTTAAACTTTGTGATCTTGGTATATAGGCATTATGCCTGCGTCCAGTATTATTGTTATTTTTATTATTATTATTATTTTCATTATTTTATTATTTTGACGTCACATTGTTTGTGCATTTGCAGACGATACAGACGGCGGTGATATCTACGATGAATCGTCTTTAGACTCACCTGCACAAAATCAGCCGGCAGCAAGACCTACCATCCAGTCTTACCCTAAAGTAATGACGAAACCTAGTATGACGTCAGACTCATCAACCGCGCCGAAATCAAACGTGAAGACGGAGTCGTCACGTGCGTCAAGAGCACACGGGGCATCAGAGTCTTCACGTGCCTCGAGGTCACACGGAACGTCAGAGTCGACACGTGCATCGAGGTCACAAGGAACGTCAGAGTCGACACGTGCATCGAGGTCACACGGGATATCAGAGTCTACACGTGTGGCAAGATCACATGGGACGTCAGAGTCGACACGAGCATCAAGATCACACGGGACATCAGAGTCTACACGTGCGGCAAGATCAAACATGACCTCAGCGTCGACTAATGCACCACAACAAATCATGACGTCAGAGCCTACCAACACACTTCAGCGAATGACAGTTCCAGAAGAATCAATACAACTACCTAAGGCAGGTGGGACGTCACACATGTCTAAATTATTGACGATGTCCGAAGATATAAAAAATGCCGCAAAAAATATCATGAAATTTGAAACAAAACCTGCAGCAAGACCTACGATTGTAAAGGTAGATTCTTCACCTATGACGGGACAAGGTTCTGTACCCGACTCAAGACCTATGAAAAACAGGCTATCAGGAGGGTTCGCCTCAGACACAGGGAGTAAGTCACAACTGATCCTTCAACATATGAATTGCACGTGTCCCAATACCCGTTGTTTCAAGTTTGTTTTAGCTTTACAAAATTTCAAAGCAAAACGTGATATTTCAATAAAAAATATAGTCTTTTTTCAGTTCTGTAAAATTGTTTCTGCTGATGTTTTGATACATTGCTAACAAAAAAAATACTACTTGTAAGATTTTATTGTCACGTGTAATATGTGCTTTAGTTTGTTTGTTAAGCTAAACGGACTATCAGTATAATATATAATATAGCATGATATTAAAACATCTATAGTCCAACATTACTCAACTAGACCTAATGGTATGTTTGAAGATTGATGATAAATAATTTGATTAAAAAAATAATAATAAAAGTTTAGTTTGTTTTAAAGTATTATTGAACATGATTGCAAAATAGACAGGATTTTCGTGAATTTGTTTTCTAAATCAATATGTCCGGATTATTTAGTGGGTATATCCTTACATTTACTTCTGTTGATTGTTTTTGTAATGTATCTTATGTATATCTGTGTTTGTTTGTAATGTATCTTATGTATACCTGTGTTTGTTTGTAATGTATCTTATGTATATCTGTGTTTGTTTGTAATGTATCTTATGTATATCTGTGTTTGTTTGTAATGTATCTTATGTATATCTATGTTTGTTTGTAATGTATCTGATGTATATCTGTGTTTGTTTGTAATGTATCTTATGTATATCTGTGTTTGTTTGTAATGTATCTTATGTTTATCTGTGTTTGTTTGTAATGCATCTTATGTATATCTGTGTTTGTTTGTAATGTATCTTATGTATATCTGTGTTTGTTTGTAGTGTATCTTATGTATATCTGTGTTTGTTTGTAATGTATCTTATGTTTATCTGTGTTTGTTTGTAATGTATCTTATGTATATCTGTGTTTGTTTGTAATGTATCTTATGTATATCTGTGTTCATATTCCTCTCTCTATATCTGTGTTTGTTTGTCTAATATGATTGGCATTATAAAGGGCTGTAATGATTTATTGGGGACAAGATTTACTAAGAAATTCTCAAACTTAGTCATAGCTTGACAAAGGGACCAGTCGGTCTTAACACGATGCGACAAGTGTAGTATGTACATTGTTTGTGCAGAAAGTAAAACTTTGATATTACATATTTCCAAACTGTGAAATCTTAATTAAGATATTTTAACAAAAATGGAGGAGACACCTTATAAAACAATGTGACATTACGTGAGGTGTCCAATGGAAAAGAATGGTATTATATCCAAACAATAACTGCCAATATGCATTCGTTGTTCATTTTTGAATTGATACAAAAACATGTGTACTACAGTATAAACATACAGCATATATGACGTAGAGTCACGCTAACCGGGGTTTCAATATTCTGGATACTGTATGCATAAAGCACGTATTTTTATTGAAATCTTTTATTCTATGATAAAACATCAACAAATATTATGCATGGGGTTACAATGAGTGTTAAAGCGTTTATTTATGTTCTTTACCCGTTCCTTACTAACTACATGTACATGTAAATGTTTGTTAGTTGTACTGTTACACTATGCCTGTCTCTGAAGATATGTATTCCAATTAAGCAATGGATGCTTTAGCAAATGTTGTTATGGTGCTATAACACACATTGCTATTGATGACAAACTTAATTAAGCCCGGTGAGCTTTATGTAAATTTGTCAGTAATAGAAATGTTTGTTATAGGACCATAACAACATTTGCTAAAGTATTCATTATTTATATTTACATTTTGAAAGAGTTATTATGCTTTATTTATTTTTTTCGGAAAAAAAATTGAAAAGCAAATTCAGTGTTGACAATAATGGAATTGATGACGTCAAAAAATAGATTGATGACGTTACAATAGCAAATGTTGTTATAGTCTCATAACAAACATTTGCCTTCGCAATGCATTAAAATTGAAGGATGCAGACAAAATGTAAATACTATGTACATGTATATCAGTCTGGGTCATGTAAATGTTCGTTATTTCTAGTATACTTCACCCGTTGTGCAGTTATGGACTATATATCAGTACTGGTCATGTTAATGTTTTTTTAATTGTACTATTACTCTATACCCGTCTCTGAAGATATGTATTCAAAATATGTATATCCAATATCAACATTATATTTTTATGCATCCTATTTGTTTTACACAAATAAAAATATTCTGTTCCTTTTCTACAGTTTGTTTTATCTTCAAGGTAAAAAGTACAAGTATAATGTAAGTCGATAAAGCAGAAGACGCTTACCCTTCCCGAACACCTGGTCGTATTCTTCTTGTTCTTCTTCAATAATCTCCATGCAGATCTCTCATTTGTTTATATTTTTCCTCCGATTTATCGATTTTAAGATCGAATTACGATTTTGTTGACACATTTGTATCTTGCTTGTTTTTTTTTGTTTTTTTTTATATAAACAATTTAAAACCGATATTCGGGCCCGTATTCATGAGACTGTTCTCACGCCAAAGCATGAATTCTGTGCTCAAGCCGACTTTCTTGAAACTCGCTTCAACTGCGTAACAAGGTCAGAAAGTCAATTTTAAATATCAAAAACAGTAGTTGGCTTAAAGTCTCCATCCAAAAATCTTATAAATCATCAACAAAATATGATAATTTTATTAATCTATCACTGGAAAAATTGAACTTGAGCACAGAACCTGAGTTTGAGCATGAGAACGGCTTCATGAATATGGGCCCGGGTGTTCGGGAAAAGATTCGTCAGTTTGGTATTAATAATGAATGCTAAGTTTGTTTTGAACACGAACAGGAGTTTAAAACTTATTTTATAAGCTTCTAAAACGTCTGTTTCCTTTGCTTTCCTTCCTGCTCGTGTTCAAAACAAACTTAATCTTTATCGATGTCCGATGACATATTGCCATACCGCCCAGTCCGTTTGATGAAGCCACCAATCGCAAGGACAATATATACATTAATCAATACAAATACATATCTTGTCTTAGAATGGTCCGATACTTCCCCATATACTTGACCACGTGAACATCTTCAATCCAAGCATGTGATTTGAACTATCTGGCATCTCAAAATGTATATGATCTTATGAATATTGATTAAAAAGGCGGGGTATAAGGATATTTAAATATGTAAAGGGGGCGTGGCGCCCAATTTGCTTCCCATAAGTACCCGCCCACCATTATATTTGTACCATTGATCATTCTTTCTCTTGCAGCTTAAACCTCAAATAGTCATAATTCATATAAACTGCAAATTAAAGAGACATTATACGTAAATATTTATGTTTACAAAAGGATTAATTTAAGGTTTACCTCTAGCCCACACTGAATTCATTTTCGAGATATTTCTTGTGATAATTGAACACTGTTTACATCAACATCCACTCTGCTCTTTGAAAATAATATTAAATACCTTTTCAATGCCCCATTGCCTCAATGTATTATTTATTATAACACGTGTAAGTTCCAGAAAAACACAATTAAATAAGTTGCAATTATTTATGCGTTTACATTGTTTTTATAAAGTTTTTCATTATTTGAAAGGTTACAAGCAAGCAACACCGGAAGTACTTCCACCGCGCATGTCAGGATCGATGTCCAAAGGAGTTCACTTCCCTGAAGAGATGCTAGCACGTAAGCTTACTTTTTTCCAGTAAATTCGACATTTCATTTCAAATATGTTTAAAGGTAACGTGACGCTGACATGCGCTCTTGTTTTCTTATCAGCAGGAACAAAAACCTGGCATTTCTTATATTTCTTACAAAGCAAAAGTTATAAGCTTTCCGTTAATACCACACTCAGAGTGTGAAACATGTAAAAGAGATTACAAAAGGAATTACGGTAAACTATATTGTCTTACAAGCCGTAAAGAATTCAATGAGTTGCATAGTGCCATGTATGCCCTAATGAGCCCCTTTAAAATGACAATATTTTTTGTAACGTTTAAGCACGCTTGTTCCGTTTCAATTCTAATCGATTCCACATTTTGCCTAGTAAGTTGTCAGAACTTGTGCCCAATCCCTTTGATTGTTTTCTTCAATAACATATGTTTGAATGACAGATTGCGGCACGGTAACTTTAAAAAATATTTTTCTCCATTAAGCTTCGAGTGGGTCAGGTTTTGGTGTGTGTGACAAGTCAAGTAAAGCCATCTAGTTCTGTCACTAAATACAAACAGTACCATTGCACATCTATATTTTGTTAAATGCCATTTGAATCAGGAAGGACCATTTGGTTCAAGTACGTACCTTTGTTTCACTAGTTCGCAGGATCATGGATCGTTCGCTATGTGTGAGCATCGGGTGGTCATCATCGCCCAAATTGTCCTCGTTTAACAGCTACTAATGTATAGCGAAAGTCGAAATATGGACAAGCTCGATTTTGATCAGCAATATTCAGTGCAGTTTCGTCCTAGCGCCCTCTTCGTCCCGAACGGACGAAATTGAATAGATCCTATTCTTCTCTCGTTCTTACATTACAAAGTATACGATCAAACTGAAGAACGACTAATGGTATTTGATGGGACGAAATGTGATGCGCTGGTAGGATATCCTTTTGCGAAGATACTATCAACAAAAGTTACTTAACATTTGTCGTCCTTTCACCATTTTATGCAAGTTTTATAGCTTTGATCTGATAACTAATTTGACCGCTACTTAAACAGCTGATCCGGATGACGATATGTATGAGAAACCCGTGGGTAAGTTTTGTGACGTCATATCCTACCTTGAATGACTTACGTTGTATCCCACTCTTCAATATTGTTTCCTTTATAATAACTCTAGTTATGTTATCTGTATTATATTTTCCACATAGTAAGTTTCAATCGGGAACCATCGGTTCTTTCCGTTAACGTAAAATGTTCTCGTTTACGGAAAGTGCCGATGGTTTCCGAATGAGTAAATTCATTTTCCGTTTAGGATTCCCGTTTGACAGTAGAAAAAAATTGACTTATTTGTATAGAATGTTTCGACCTTCATAACAATAGTCATATGGACAAATACACAAACTATAGACTGCCAGATCTAACATAGAAAAACATGTTAAATCTATACACTATCAAGCGTGACAAAGACTCACACTATGGAGTTTCAAGCGTCCCATCAACAAATATAAAATTGATGCAGCTTCAAGCTTTATAAAAAAGCAAAATATCAAAAATGGTGGACCGTCAAACGTCATATAGACAAATGCAAAAACGATGGTCTGTCCAGCGATACAAAGATAAATACAAAAAAAAAAAAAATGAAAAAAGCCTGAAGTTGGTTCCCTGTTCCAAGTTTCCAGCTCCGTTAAAGAGAAAACGTAAATTCCGGTTGATTATTAGAGGCTGCTTATAATGTGTTTCTGAAACGGAACTATAATTTTGGTCAAAGTTTCATTGATGGTGTTATTTCGGCTATTTAACCGGAACTTGGATCGTTTTTCTTACACGGAACTAGAGTTTGTTTCCTAGTTCTGTTACTCTTAAACAGAACTAGGGTCTGATTCCCAGTTATGTTTCTTTTAAACAGAACTAGGATCTGGCTCTCAGTTTCTGTTTTTCTGAAACAAAACTATGATATGGTTCACAGTCCTGTTTCTCTTAAAAAGAACTAGGATATGGATCCCAGTCCTGTTTCTCTTAAACAGAACTAGGATCTGGTTCCAAATCATGTTTTCTCTTAAACGGAACTAGGATCTAGTTCCCAGTCCTGTTTCTCCTAAACAGAACTAGGATATGGTTCCAAATCATTGTTTCTCTTAAACAGAACTAGGATCGGGTTCCCAATCGTGTTTCTCCTAAACAGAACTAGGATCTGGTTCCCAGTTCTGTTTCTCTTAAACTGAACTAGGAACTGGTTCCCAATCGTGGTTTTTTTAAAAGGAACTAGGATCTGGTTCCCAGTCATGTTTCTCCTAAACAGAACTAGGATATGGTTCACAGTTCTGTTTCTCTGAAACGGAAATAGGATCTAGTTCCCAATCCTGTTCTCAAACAGAACTAGGATATGGTTCCCAGTCCTGTTTCTCCTAAACAGAACTAGGATATGGTTTTCAGTCCTCTTTCACTTAAACAGAACTAGGATATTGTTCCCAGTCATGTTTCTTTTAAACAGGACTAGGATATAGTTTCAAGTCCTGTTTCTCTTAAACAAAACTAGGATCTGGTATCTAGTCCTATTTCTCTAAAACAGAACTAGGATATGGTTTCCAGTCCTGTTTCTCTTAAACAAAACTAGGATCTGGTATCTAGTCCTATTTCTCTAAAACAGAACTAGGATATGGTTTCCAGTCCTGTTTCTCTTAAACAAAACTAGGATCTGGTATCTAGTCCTATTTCTCTAAAACAGAACTAGGATATGGTTTCCAGTCCTGTTTCTCTTAAACAGAACTAGGATAATGTTCCCAATCCTGTTCTTAAACAGAACTAGGATCTGGTTCCCAGTCCTGTTTCACTTAAACGGAACCAGGATATGGTTCCCAGTCCTGTTTCTCCTAAACAGAACTATGATCTGGTACCCAGTCCTGTTTCTCTTAAACTGAACTAGGAACTTGGTCCCAGTCCTGTTTTTTAAACAAAACAAGGATATGGTTCTCAGTCATGTTTCTCTTAAATGGAAATATGATCTAGTTCCCAATCCTGCACTTAAACAGAACTAAGATATCGTTCACAGTTATGTTCTCTTTAACAAAACTAGGCGCTGATTCCCAGTTCTGTTTCCCTTGAACGGAGCGAGGAGTCAGTTCCCAGTCCTGTTCCTATTGATAGAACTAGGATTTGGTTTCCAGTCCTGTTTCGCTTCAACATAACTAGGATTTGGTTCCCAGTCATGTTTCTCTTCAACAGAAATATGATTTGGTTCCCAGTCATGTTTTCTCTTAAACTGAACTAGGATCTGGTTCCCAGTCCTGTTTCTCTTAAACAGAACTAGGAACTGGTTCCAAATCATGTTTTCTCTTAAACTGAACTAGGATCTGGTTCCCAGTCCTGTTTCTCTTAAACAGAACTAGGAACTGGTTTCCAATCGTGTGTTTTTTAAAGGAACTAGGATCTGGTTCCCAGTCATGTTCCTCTTAAACGGAACTAGGATATTGTTCCCAGTCCTGTTTCTCCTAAACGAACTAGGATCTGGTTCCCTAACATGCTTTTTTTTAAACAGAACTAGGATTTGGTTCCCAATCATGTTTTTTTTTAAAACAAAACAAGGATATGGTTATCAGTTATGTTTCTCTTAAACAGAAATAGGATATGGTTCCGTGTCCTGTTTCTCTTCAACAGAACTATGGTCTGGTTCCCAGTCCTGTTTCTCTTAAACGGGACTAGGTGATGGTTCCAAGTCTTGTTCCTCTTAAACTGAACTAGGATCTTGTTTCCAGTCCTGCTTCTTTTAAACAAAACAAGGATATGGTTCTCAGTCATGTTTCTATTAAATGGAAATAGGATATAGTTCCCAGTCCTGCACTTTAACAGAACTAGGATATCGTTCACAGTTATGTTCTCTTCAACAAAACTAGGCGCTGATTCCCAGTTCTGTTTCCCTTGAACGGAGCGAGGAGTCGGTTCCCAGTCCTGTTCCTATTGCTAGAACTAGGATTTGGTTTCCAGTTCTGTTAATCTTAAACATAGCTAGAATATGGTTCCCAGTCCTGTTTCGCTTAAACATAACTAGGATCAGGCTCCCAGTCCTGTATTTGTTAAACAGAACTAGGATCTGGTTTCCAGTTCTGATTCTCTTATACATTACTAGGATCTGGTTTCTAGTCCTATTTCACTTAAACAGAACTAAGATATTGTTCCCAGTGATGTTTCTCTTAAACGGAACTAGGATATAGTTCCAAGTCTTGTTTCTCTTAAACAGAACTAGGATATGGTTCACAGTCCTGTTTCTCCTAAACAGAACTAGGCGATGGTTCCCAGTGCTGTTTCTCCTAAACAGAACTAGGATATGGATCCCAGTCCTGTTTCTCCTAAACAGAACTAGGATCTGGTTCCCAATCGTGGTTTTTTTAAAAGGAACAAGGATCTGGTTCCCAGTCCTGTTTCTCTTAAACAGAACCAGGATATGGTTCCCAGTCCTGTTTCTCTTAAACAGAACTAGGATCTGGTTCCCAATCATGTTTCACTTAAACAGAACTAGGATCTGGTTCCCAGTCCTGTTTCTCTTAAACAGAAATAGTATCTAGTTCCCAATCCTGCTCTTAAACAGAACTAGGATATGGTTTACAGGTCTGTTTCTCTGAAACGGAAATAGGATCTTGTTCCCAGTCAAGATTCTCTGAAACAGACCTAGAAGCTGGTTCCCAGTTCTGTTTCTCTTCATCAGAAATATGATTTGGTTCCCAGTCATGTTTCTCTTCAACAGAAATATGATTTGGTTCCCAGTCATGTTTCTCTTAAACAGGAATAGTATCTGGTTTCCAGTCCTGTTTCTCTTAAACAGAAATAGGATCTAGTTCCCAATCCTGTTCTTAAACAGAACTAGGATATGGTTCCCAGTCCTGTTTCTCCTAAACAGAACTAGGCGATGGTTCCCAGTGCTGTTTCTCTTAAACAGAACTAGGATATAGTTCCAAGTCTTGTTTCTCTTAAACAGAACTTGGATCTGGTTCTCAAACATGCTTTTTTTAAACAGAACTAGGGTCTGGTTCCCAATCATGTTTTTTTAAACAAAACAAGGATATGGTTATCAGTCATGTTTCTCTTAAACGGAAATAGGATATGGTTCCGTGTCCTGTTTCTACATTACTAGGATCTGGTTTCTAGTCCTATTTCACTTAAACAGAACTAAGATATTGTTCCCAGTGATGTTTCTCTTAAACGGAACTAGGATATAGTTCCAAGTCTTGTTTCTCTTAAACAGAACTAGGATATGGTTCACAGTCCTGTTTCTCCTAAACAGAACTAGGCGATGGTTCCCAGTGCTGTTTCTCCTAAACAGAACTAGGATATGGATCCCAGTCCTGTTTCTCCTAAACAGAACTAGGATCTGGTTCCCAATCGTGGTTTTTTTAAAAGGAACAAGGATCTGGTTCCCAGTCCTGTTTCTCTTAAACAGAACCAGGATATGGTTCCCAGTCCTGTTTCTCTTAAACAGAACTAGGATCTGGTTCCCAATCATGTTTCACTTAAACAGAACTAGGATCTGGTTCCCAGTCCTGTTTCTCTTAAACAGAAATAGTATCTAGTTCCCAATCCTGCTCTTAAACAGAACTAGGATATGGTTTACAGGTCTGTTTCTCTGAAACGGAAATAGGATCTTGTTCCCAGTCAAGATTCTCTGAAACAGACCTAGAAGCTGGTTCCCAGTTCTGTTTCTCTTCATCAGAAATATGATTTGGTTCCCAGTCATGTTTCTCTTCAACAGAAATATGATTTGGTTCCCAGTCATGTTTCTCTTAAACAGGAATAGTATCTGGTTTCCAGTCCTGTTTCTCTTAAACAGAAATAGGATCTAGTTCCCAATCCTGTTCTTAAACAGAACTAGGATATGGTTCCCAGTCCTGTTTCTCCTAAACAGAACTAGGCGATGGTTCCCAGTGCTGTTTCTCTTAAACAGAACTAGGATATAGTTCCAAGTCTTGTTTCTCTTAAACAGAACTTGGATCTGGTTCTCAAACATGCTTTTTTTAAACAGAACTAGGGTCTGGTTCCCAATCATGTTTTTTTAAACAAAACAAGGATATGGTTATCAGTCATGTTTCTCTTAAACGGAAATA